TTTCCTTCCCCAAATTGGGGAAGTTTTCCACTATATTTTGCTCCAATCTACCTTCTGCCTCTCTCTCTTTCTTTCCTCTTCTTCTGGGATCCCAGTTGTTCTAATATTTTTTTCATGTTATGGTATCACTTATGTCTGCAGTTCTCCCCTCATGACCCAGTAGTTGTTGATCTCTCTTTTTTTCAGCTTCTCTATTCTCCATCATTTTGTCTTTTATATGACTAATTCTGTCTTCTGCCTAATTGAACCTAGCAGTTAGAGCCTCCTTTTGATTGCATCTCATTAGTAGCCTTTTTTATTTAGACTTGATTACATTTTAGTTCTTTTATTTCTCCAGAGAAGGATACTCTAGTGTCTTCTATGTTTTTTGAAGCCCAGCTAGTATCTTTATAATCATTATTCTGATCTGTATTTCTGACATCTTACTTAAACCTATAGTGGTTAGGTCCCTGGCAGTCAGCACTGCCTCTTGTTCTCTTTTTTCAGGTGAGTTTTTCCTTCTTGTCATTCTTGCAGTAAGTGGTTGGTTTTCTGTTTGTAGATTTGCAGCAGTTCTTTTCTTAGATCTCTGGTTGAGTTCGCAGTGTTCAGAATTATTTGATAGCTATCTCGTTGAGTTTCTGGGACCAAACAAAGCTAAGGTCTCCTCCTCCGGAATCTTGGAGTCTTCAGTCATATTTAATCTTCTTAACAAACTTAGGAGAATTGATATTATCACCATTGACCAGAAGGAAATGGAGATGTGGAAAAATAAAATAATTTTCCCTAGAGTAGCTAGAATTTGAAATCTGGTGTATAGTATTTGACTCCAAAGCAAAGGCTTTTTCTACCGTATTATTTTTAAATTATCAAATATGCTATGTACTATAGAGAATATAAAGTTAACTAATAAATAGTTATTTAAATTATGTATAAGATAGTATATAGTTAAATTTCAAATGAGTCTAATAAATAATTTTATAGTTATTTAGAAAACTGAGGAATCTTTAGCCAAATTGAAATATTTGGCACATAGTAGGCTCAAAATGAAACACTGATTCAATAAATTTATGAATAGGTAAGGATTGGCTTTTAAATATTAAGTAAAGTTTGAATTGGTGGAAAGAAAGTGCAAGGCCATTTTAGGTATAGGGGACAACATAAGCAAATGTGAGAAGCAAACTTGTGAAAAGACTAATAAAATTCATCAGGAGATAAGAATTAATGTTTAGGAGCACTGTAAGTTAAGGTTGGGAAAAGTGAATTGGAGATCAGATTGTGATGAAGAATTTGAATTACAAGGCTAAGGTGTTTGAATGTTACAGTTATTAGAGAACCAGAGAGTAATAGTGGTACTGATCATTTGTATGGGCATATGGACAATAGAATGTAATGGGTAAGACTGTGGGCTTTGGAGCAAAACTGTCTGAGTTAAAACCCTGGTACTGCCCTCTACCAGCTTTGTAATCCTGAGCAAATTACTCAGCCTCTCTGTGCTCTAATTTCCCCACTAATCAAAGGGAAATAATAGTTTTTAACTCATAGAACCATTGTGAGGATTAAATGAGTTATTATATGGAAAAATAGAGAACAATCCTTAGGAAATAGTAAGCATTCTGTAAATATTAACTGTTATCATTTATATGACATTACAGTGTTCATTTGCTTTTATTTTCAATTGTCTTTATGTGTACTATGTCTTTTAATTTTCACAGCAACTCTGTGAGGTAGATATTACTATAACCAGTTTAATAACAGAGAGAGCAAAGCTAAGGAAGTTATATCATGCTAGAAATCCTTAGCTGACAAAATTGATCTTTTAGTTCTAAACAATTTCACTGTGATTCTCTGTCATCTAAGAAACTAATGGAACAATGGAATAACTTGCCAAAGTCAAGTTTTGGGAAAATTATTCTGGTGAAATTTTGCAGAGTGAAATGAAGAAGGGAAAGAACCTGGATGCAAGTTTGTTATGCTCTTGAGATGACCTAGGCTTAGGTTTTATTTATAAAAACTTTTTATGTCAAGGAGTGTGTCATTGAGAATTAAGAAAAAAGACAATTATAGGAGACATTATGAATTTTCTAACTAAGCAATTGATATTTTTTCAGCTGTATTTAAACTTGAAACAGATAGAAGTATATGGCCCTTGATAAGAATATATCGGGGTGGCTTTCTTCTGATTGAATTCCTTTTTCTACTGGGCATCAACACATATGGTTGGAGACAGGCTGGAGTGAATCATGTGCTCATTTTCGAACTTAATCCAAGAAGCAATTTGTCTCATCAGCATCTTTTTGAGGTAATCAAAGCAAGACATAAAGTCCCATGAATTTATTTCACATTAGCTATATAGCTGGTTTCGTGGATACTGAAATCCATCTTCTACTTGAAGAAGGTTATTGACATTATATCTAAACATGTATCCTCCCTTTGTTTTATTAAAGATATTTCTGAGTAATGGAAAAATAAAAATAACAGTTTTCTCTTTGTCTTTCCATCCTTTATCAGATTGCTGGATTCCTTGGGATATTGTGGTGCCTGAGCCTTCTGGCATGCTTCTTTGCTCCAGTTAGTGTCATCCCTACATATGTGTATCCACTTGTCCTTTACGGATTTATGGTTTTCTTTCTTATCAATCCCACCAAAACTTTCTATTATAAGTCACGGTTTTGGCTGCTTAAACTGCTGGTAAGTCCAGAAATTTGTCTACCATTTTTAGAGTGGTATATTGGTCATTAGTTTCCTCCAGGAGGAAACCCAGTGTGCTGTATTGCACAACTCCAGAAAGCGTGGTTCACTTTGTAGTCTGTGTGAGTGGTGCTCTAGAGCCAGGGGTGTAGAATATAGTGTAATTGGTCTACCTTTTATTGTACAGTGAAGTGGCCCTGGGAAAAACACTCATGCATTTTTTTTCCTCTTAAAAAAGAGTATAAAGTGCCCACCTATTGAAATGAATTTGCAAATTAATAATAATTAATTCATGATCAATTTAAGTACTTTTAAATACAAATCATTTAACCAGCTGTGATAACACGTAGAACTCTTCGAATTTCTTTTTTTTTTAGAAGTGGTGAAACTGTTATTTTCCTCTAAATTGATAGTAGTAGTGAAACATTTTTATTTTACAAGAGATTAGTTCTCTAAAAGCATTTAAGAATATCTTACCAGATTGACAGCTTTAATTTGAGAAACTTTGATTCTTGTTGATAATAAATTCCATTTCTTCTTCCGCTTTACCTAGTTCTTTAATGATCTCAAAATCCTACAGTCGCAGCAATAGGATATAGAATTTCTTGAAAAATAGCTACTGTATTTTTTGTGATAGTTTAAAGATAGCTTGGGGAAGGGACTTCTGCTTACTCCTGAGTTAAACCAGCTCTATTTTCAAAATTAATCGGGAATACTCTCCTGTAATTATTTCTTAGGTTGTGAATGACAACTAACAGTAAAGTGAAAATTAATGATTAAATTGACTGGACTCTACACATACTTTTAGAATTCTTGTAATTATTGTCTTACTTTTTTTTTCTACCTTAGAAAGTATACTACTGCCTTGACAATTGTAATTTTGACTTCTCTTTCCTTTGATATGACCCTAAGGTTAGCGGAATTTTTTTTGTTCTTAGCAATACATTCCCTATATCTAGCATTACTTAAATTTTTTAAATCTGAAGATATAAAATATGGCTTTCCTATTAAAAAACATAGTAAGCACACAGGTAAAAAGCCACTTATGTTCTAGAACAGGTTAAGTATGTATAGCAATCAGGAAAAGAAAATGGCCCAGATCTCCTTGATTTTTTTTTCCCCCAAAGTTGGTTATTATTTATTTGTATTTATTTCTTTCAGTAGGATCTTTATCACAAATTGAGGAATATCCCTCTTTTTCTCCAATTTCATTAAGTATTAATAAATAAAAGAGCAAATCACTCCCATTAAGTATATCACCCGTAGGCCTAACGTTGGGTCTACGTGTGGAACTTAGATCTACAGGAGTATTTTGAAAAGTTTGCAATCATCTTTCATACATTTTGTTATCATTTAGAAAACATGCTTTTTAAAGGATTTTTTGATGATGAAAATTTGAACCAGTTTTTTTGAAATTTATACCAAAAATAAATCATATCCAGTTAGTACAACAATATTAGATTACCTTTTTATTTTGAGAGTTTTTGTCATTTTATTGCTAGATTTTATGGAATTGTAAAACTTATTTGCATAAAAATGTATTCTTATGGTTATAAGGAAATAACTTTAAGATTATAAATATGTTATCTCTCAACTATTGTGAAATCTCTATATTATTTTGAAATGAGGTTCGAAAGACTCAGAAAACTCAGATGTTATTATGGTTTGCATCATTGCAATAACAGAATAATATCATTGTGTACGTTGTGTGTAAAGTGAGCATTTCCCCAGTGCATCCTTCTCTGCTTAAATAGTAAGCTATGATTCATGCATGACCAGTTAGTCTTACTAGCAGAATGATTCCCCATTGAGTAGACATTTATCAGTATATCTGCTGTGTGCTAATAAATAGGACTTATTGATGGAATAGGTTGGCAATGATGATATAATAAGGAATAAAAGAATAGTAAAATGCACCATCAGAAGCAATGAAATGCACAAGGAAGCACTGTGGTTTGTTATATTTGTAATAATAATTGTATACAGGAAAAATGTTATTTATAGAGCATCTTAATAGTAATTGACCTATTCACTTATTTTAATTCAAGTCTTACTGAGAAAACTTAACCTGAGACTTATTTCTAGTGAATTAACAAAAATATTTCCACCGTAGTTATGTTTCTCTTTTTTAAAAGCCTCATCATAAAGTAAAAGTACATTTCCTTCTTTTTTTTTCCTTTAATTTTTAGTGGAAAAGAATATATGTCACTTAGCTATGGTGGTAGGCACTGGATGCCATTTATATCCATATTCAAATTTGAATCTATGGAATTTATATGCTATACATCTCCCCCAAAAAGCTAAAAAAAATTTTTATTAGAAATTTATGTTGATACTTACATGTCAAATTAGTACAGTTTTTTTGTATTAATTAGGTCATAAATCTCTGCATATCTGTATTTGCCCTAATTAGAAATCCAATTGGGAAACATAAGCAATGGCTCAGATTTTCTAAACAAAAATACGAATTTATTCTTCTAAAAGGCTACTTAAAGTATTTTTTTAAAGATCTGTTGATTTATTTTAGAGAAAGAGAGTTGGAGGGGAAGGGGCAGAGGGAGAGAGTCCTAAGCAGAAACTATGCTGAGCACAGAGCACCCAACATGGGGCTCCATCCCAGGACCCCAAGATCATGACCTGACCTGAAACGAAGAGTTGGACACTTAACCAACTGAGCCACCCAGGTGCCTCAAAGCTACTTAAAGTTTTTAAATTAAAGTCCTTTCCTATATAATTTGGAAATTGATTTTTCAAATAATTTCTTTTGTTTTATAGTAAAATGTTTATGCATGTCTCTACTGTGAGAATAGAGATGTATTTTCATATAATGCACTGTTCTGGACATTTTTATGTGCTAATTTATTTCACCGTTTTAATAACCCTGAGGTTGGAGCTGCTATCAATCCACATTTTATAAATGAGGAAACCTAATTTCAGAGGAGTTTAATGCATATCTAGTAAGTAATGGAGATGGAACATCAGCCCAGGCAGTCTGGTTTCATAATCCTTACTCTTAACCACTGCAGTTGAACAGTGAGACCTGGTAGTGACCTTACCTAAGGTGTTTAACTTTGATATAGTGGTTCAAATTAATTGATTCTTCACAAGCCTCTAAAAGTAAAAATTAACACAGACCTGTACCCCTGAAACAAATAATACATTATATGTTAATAAATAAAAACGTAAATTTAAAAAAATAAATAAAAATAAAAGTAGAAATTAAACTTCATCTCCTTAACTGTTTATCTGCATTAACTTAGAAAATGTTGTTAGCATATATCCTTTGTAATAACTTATTAGTGGCCTTTTTGTGTATGTGGGTAAAATACCAGATATTTTGAATTGTCTCTAGCTTTCTTAACACTGTCACTCAGTGAATCATTATCATTTTAATCAAAATCACAAAGTAGAAGTTGGAAGACCTTAGCCAGAATAAGAAAGGAAGAAGGAGAATTCTCACTCAAAAAGGGGAATTCAGATAAATTTAAGAAGAATTTGACTATGTGTAAATGTCAGGGAGTTCAGTATGATCTGTTAATTTCCTACCCCCCTCACCCCTTAACCTGTCTCTAATTGAGCCAACTTGCTCTCCTTCTTTGTATTTCTAGGATATTTTGTGTATTTATCTGCAATAGCACTTATTACACAGTGCTATCATTATATCTTTAGGTATATATTTGCCCAACCAGACTGTGGGACTTTGAGAGTAGAAACTATGTTTTATTTATCTCTCTACTTCCACAATGACTGACATATAGTAATACTTAATTAATCTTTGTTAAATGCTGAGTGACTATAATTATATTGATTCCTTCCTTAGTTGTATTATACCAACATTTACTATTTCCTCCTTTTTTCATCTTTTCTCTTCTGTAAATTTTCCCTTCCAGTTTCTATTTTCATGCCACTCCCTTCCTTTTGTAGTCTCATTTCCCTATCTCTTTTCTTTCTTAGTCCATTCTCCTCCTCTTATGCTCTTATGGATTTCTGTATTAGCTGGCTTTTGAGGCTGGATTTGGCAGATTATGAGTGTGATGGTAGTCTGTCTCATGTCAGTGAGAAATTTGCCCTAGGCTATCGTTTTCACAGAAGACCTTGACTAGAGATTGAGTTAGATTTCCTGATCCTTTTGATGTTATATCTTAAGTTATCCTCTTGTTCTGTTTCTTTGAATCTTTAAAGTCCACCCTGCACCTCAGTTTCTTAAAATACTATATAAACTGGTAACCTCTTCATGCATAAATGACTAACATCCCAACCATTAAGCCCTCAGCCCTCCCCCCGCCCCTCCCCCCAAAACTTTATGGTTGCAGACGATATACCTTATCTCTCTGGCTTATTGCACAACTTATTGAAAGAGCAAGAGAATGATTTAAGGAATAAGAGAATAGTAAAATGCACCATCAGAAGCAGTGAAATGCACAAAGAAGCTATGGACTCAAAATATATCAGCTCCAGAAAATATTGCAATGCCCTGCAGATATCTGGTCTAATTTCCAAAACCCTAACCCAGTACCTTTCATAGATAGTTGATGCCCAGGATGGATTCATAATATAGCCATTTATCTCCATCAAATAATAAAGAGAAATGTTTACAGAACAAATAGAAAGAACCAGCCAAGTCTGAGGGAAAAGAGCCATTAGTCTCCCATGCTGAATATGTCTACTAAATGAATATAGCTAGATGGCAAGAGAGCTGTTCATTTAGACTTATTTTCTCAAAACTGCTGCTTTGTGAGAATTCCTTGTTTTAGGAGTTCATTTTTACCTGTTTAAGATAGAAAGGATCTGACAGGGTGAGGATAAAAGCTGCCTTCATTCCATCTTCACTTTCCTCAGGGCCTCTCAAGGCATTCTGCACAATTGGAGCCTGTTTCTGATGATTACATTAGTATCTAAGTCTTCCTCTCTCTGCAGTGCCAGATTTCCCTTTGCAGTGCTAAACAGTCTTCCACAGAATAGGTCAGGATGAGTTTGTTCTAGGTCATCTGTAAAAGGGGGATATGAATAGTATCACGCTTATAGAATTGTTACAGTTAATGGATTATGAAAAATACATCATGAGAAAAATATATAGCATGGATTAGTACTCAGTACATTTAATCTGAATTTATTTAACATTGTTTTTATAACAGTGGGGATATGGGTTGATGATTTTTGTGGCATAATTTCAAGATAAATACCATTATTACCATGGCATTAGTGAAATGAAAGTGACTTTGGTTAGAGAATAGGCAGGCATGCTTCAGGTGATGTACCATTCTTCCCTTCCTCTCCCTATAGGCAAAGAAGAGCTTTGTATTCAGTTACCTAAGCTCTCATCCCAGTTAAGATGGGAGGATATTCCAGAAATTATCATAGCACATGGATCCCTAGCAGAATTTACCCTAGAGCCTAACACTAGACATCCTCTCTGTGCTTCTGTCTTCTGCCACCCTCTGCTTTCAGCTTCAACTCTTCCCACCCTCTCTGCTTTCTATTTTCTAACTATAGCTATGCCTGCCTTCTCTACCCCACTTTAGTTTCTTTTCTTGGTTATCTATTCAACTTATTCCCTTCACTACCAATGCTCAACCTAGCCACTGTTGACAGGTCCCTCCTGGTGTTTGTGATTGGCTCATGGGTTTCCATTTTATCGACTAAAGTAATCGTACTGCCTGGTCAGACGCGAGTTAGAGAATTTTAATATGAATTTTCTTGTCTCTGTGTTTTTTGATTTTTTTTCTTTCTCCCAGTTTCGAGTATTTACAGCCCCCTTCCATAAGGTAGGCTTTGCTGATTTCTGGCTGGCCGATCAGCTGAACAGCCTGTCAGTGATATTGATGGACCTGGAATATATGATCTGCTTCTACAGTTTTGAGCTCAAATGGGATGAAAGTGGGGGCCTGTTGCCAAATAATTCAGAAGGTAGGGTATGAATGTGCGTCCATACCTCTAAACTGCCAATGTAAACCAAGAAATATTGGGAATGAGAAATTTAAGATCATGGTGAAAACTCATCCAATAATATTACAAACTTAATTAAATGTACTTGGCACTCTTTTAGCAGTCTCTTTATCTGATATAATTTGGCTCTTAAATTATATGTTATGATTTTAGCCATCCATTTGCCAAGAGATTTGCAACTTATGCTTAAGAGAATTCTAAAACTAAAAAAAAGAAAAAAATTCTAGTACATTGGTAGTTACATCACAAATGCTTTAGTGCCAACAGTTTCCATCACAGTATCACTTTATAATGAGCAAAAATACTGATTATTTAGAGTTAGATCACATGATTTGAGAAAATCATTTTAGATTGTTTTTTGATTCTTATTGGGGATCTTGTTTTTTCTTCTGGCTCTTTTTCCCACTCTTAGTGTATGCCAGGAGTTCAAGTTATTAAGGAATTTTGCCTTAATGACAAAGACCAAATTTAGGCAGATTATGTAACAACTGACTAATAAAGTTAATCAAGCCAGCGGCAACACATTTTCATTGATTTGCCAGCAGACCACAACTCTGTTTACAGAACAAATAGAAAGAACCAGCCAAGTCTGAGGGAAAAGTAGCTTGATTGCACTATAATGCATTCTCAGAATTTGAAGAAAAATTAATTTACCAACTCCATTCTTCTCATTTAAAAATATAAACTCTGCTCTTCATTAAAAAAGGGTGGAGTAGAGCATGTATAACCCATTGCCATATATTAAGGCAGTTTGGAGTTCATGAAGTTGGCTAGAGTCATCAGTGATATTTGTATGTTTCCCATATGTATTAAATTACGGAACTTTTTTTTCCTTTGATTAGTGTACTCATCTTCTAATTTTCCTATAGTTCTATCACATTCCAAAGAAAGTGATTCAGAACAGGTAGTCTGAAATATGAGAGGGCAGATTTTCCCTGTAGGTTCACTGTGTGTATTTACCTTCTTTCCTTGGCTTATCTATCACTAAAAAGTTTGAGAATATAATTGTTACAAAGAAGAAAGTGATTCTGAAACATACGCTTCTTGCTTTTATGGACTTTTGATATAACGAAATGATGTGAACAGGCTATTTTTTAAAATTACAATTTTTTCTTCTTTGAAATCTTCACAGAACCAGAAATTTGCCACAAATATTCATATGGTGTACGGGCCATTGTTCAGTGCATTCCTGCTTGGCTTCGCTTCATCCAGTGCCTGCGCCGATACCGAGACACAAAAAGGGCCTTTCCTCATTTAGTTAATGCTGGGAAATACTCCACAACTTTCTTCACGGTGACGTTTGCAGCCCTTTACAGCACTCACAAAGGTATTCTGTGATTGACTGTGAAGACATTTTTAAAACCCAAAGATTTTTCACTACTTAAATCTGTTTCTTACTCTGGTTACTTTTCCATTTGTCATGCTCTTTTTTTCCATTGGAGTTCCAGTCCCCTTAGTTATACTAGTTTGTTCTTGAACACAATTTTAGTCTCATTCCAGTATTTACTAACAAGTACCACTAAAAAGAGTCAAGGTCATCCAGAATTAGAGGATTTGTGATAATGTGTGAAATCCTGAATTATGTTTAATATGCTCTATCTTAGACACCTTGGGCTTTCATTTGTTTTTTTAGACTTCTTGGTCATTAATGAGGTTGGGAAATGCTAGGTGAAAAAGATTCCCTCTGGCAATCACGTATATTTTTAATCGCTTTCCTTCACCAAGTAGTAAGGATTGTTTCCAGCCCATTTAACTGCAAATTGAGTTCTCTGATCTCTCTAGTTTCTTATCTCCATAGCAACCAGTTATTACTTGAGACTGCTCTTCTGTTGGGAGGAGAAAAAAGCTTTTAGGTTCTGAGCCACATGCAGTCAGTCCTTTTGAATTTTTAACCTTTTTCCAAGAACTGTCAATCAAAGATCTTGCTTTCTTTTACTTTAAAATGCATTCTATCTTTGTCTATTTAAATCAATATCAGCCCACAACTTAGAGGCTGCACCCTCATCTGTGAGTGGTAAAGAAATGTTACTTATTGAAATTATTATAATTATTTTTTAATTGTTAAGTAAATTTTTTTTCAGTGACTTTCTTTAATTGAAACACTGTATTTTAGGAACCTTAGCTAGTAGCTCCTAGCTACTTATCTAAAGTATGTCTGATGGTCTTGAAAGACTGGGACAGTGGATTTTTGTGAGGCTTGCAATTTGGTCCAGTAGAACACTTTGTAACATACTTCCACTTTTTACAGTAGATTCTGCAGTTACAATAATATTGATAATGCAGCCAATAATTTCATCACTATGTAGGCACTCTTATTAAATGATATAATTTAACTAAGTGCTTCAGTGAAAGAAACACATCCTGAAAGCTCCCGTAACTTTAACTTTTGCTAAGGATTGCTATTCTTTAGTCTGGGCATGCATCATGATTCACAAGGTTGTTACTAGAGAATTTATAAGTCAGGCAACTGATTTGATAATGGTACCTTATGCCTTAACAACCCTTTAGTTTTCTCCCATGGGGCGTAACATGTTTTTTTGGTGGAATATTTAGGATATAACTTATCTTTAACTATACTGATACCATTCAGGATGAAGCTGAAAATCTGAATTCCTCAAATCTGCACTGGTTTCACAGTGGCTCAGTTGTTAAGCGTCTGCCGAAGCTCACGTCATGATCCCAGGGTACTGGGATCGAGCCCCCTATCGGGCTCCCTGCTCCACGGGAGGCCTGCTTCTCCCTCTCCCTCTGCGCCTGCTTGTGTTCCTTCTCTCACTGTGTCTCTCTCTCTCTCAAATAAATAAATAAAATCTTAAAAAAAAATAAAAAAATAAACTGAAGAAAGTAAAGAATTAAACATAAACTAAATGAAAAAAGGATTTGAGGGGCGCCTGGGTGGCTCAGATGGTTGAGCGTCTGCCTTCGGCTCAGGTCATGATCCCGGGGTCCTGGGATCGAGTCCCGCATCAGGCTCCTGGCTGAGCCGGGAGCCTGCTTCTCCCTCTGCCTCTGCCTCTCCCCCTGCTCATGCTATCTCTGTGTCTCAACTGAAT